CCCCCCCCCCCCCTCTTCTCCTCTCCACATGTTCTCTTATTTCTATCAGACTTGTCACACTTTGGTTTTCAGTGTTGCCTCCAATTCGTAATACTAACAACCAGAGAGGAGGTTTTGGGCGTGGTCGTTGGCAAAATGATAGAGGAGCTGGCATCCTTCCTCGACCTGGACCTTATCCTCAAAGGCATGGCTATGGTTATGGTTCCAAGTTCATTAATGGTCGTCATGATGACCGTTTTGTTTCTGAATTAAAGCTTACGAAAAGTGAAGAAACTTTAGCAAGAAAATGCATACAATTTCAGGAAGTAAGTTTTCTTTCTCCTTCTTTTTGTTCTTTTCAGTTTTTGTGGCCTGCCAAGTCCTCTTAAAAGTTAATTTATCAATCCTATGGTAGTAAGGTCACGGGATCATGGTTCTCATATCTCTCATTTCTGTTAGTACCACACAGATCATCTACAAACTTGTCAGATGGCAATACTATTTTTGTCCTTGTTTTGGTAGTCTGAGTAATAGTTAAGAAGAAGAAGAAAATTTTCAGAAAAATTGATGGATTAAAGATCATATGGGATTTTGCGTTGTCTGGAACTTGTTAACCCTGATGCTCTTCTAGTTAATGTACGTGAAATCCTTTCCTCCGTGAATGTATCATGTGTTTAGGTCAGTAATTCTTATGCATCTCAACAACTTACTACTCTAAAAGCTTAGAAGCGCATAACGGTTTATGTCATTATTTTTCACATGGATGACCTGTTATGAGAGGCCAAACCTGTCAGGGGCTCGTGTAGTACATCACCACCCCCTTTCTAGGTTCAAGCTTATGGTGGTGGTTAGATGTACTGACAGTAATGTGTGACTGATACATGTTTATTTTGTTTTCCAGTAACATATTTGTGGTGTGCCTTCTAATGCATTCTAAACTGTATATGATGCAATACAGCCATGCGAACTTGCTTGCTATAGTCGTGCAGAAGGTGGAGATGTGTACTTTGATGATCGCAGCTTGGTGAGCCTTCTTTTTCTTGAGATTTTCGTTTTCTAGTATCTCCACAAAGATAATTTGGTACTGGTTTTATGTATTTACACATTTCCCATTCTCAGAGGCTTTTTAAACGTCTTATTACTGAAGATGTTGGAGCTGACCTGAATGAAGGTTTCGACACTTTCATTGAAAAGCAAGGTATTTCTTCAGACTGAGTAGTGAAAGAACGAAAAAATATGCTGCCTAATTAAATGTCTACTGTAAGGGAGCTTGTTTCTTCTCAATTTTGTGAGAACCGACCAATTTTGTGTTTTTCTTTTGTTACCCTAGATTTGGGTTCTCAGGGGTTTGGTGACCTTCTTGCTTGCATAAGAGACAAAAATATCCCACTTCAAAATATGCATTTTGTGGTAAGATGGTATGATCTCTTGCTTTTATAAGTTTAAGGATATCCTTTAAGGATACTAATTACTTTTTTCATGTCCTTATTTGTCCCCTGCAGACATATCGTAACAATCTTAATAAGGTAACTGCTGATCCTTTGAATGGTGCTACTTATTTGTAACCTATTATTGGGTATTCAAGTAAGCACCTCTTTGTTTTATCTTCTTCAACTAAATAGTAACGAATATCGGACACTAAGATGTAAGTGTTCAAGCCATGGGGCTCTTGATCTGTCAACAACCGGTGATAACGCCTTAAAAATTCCAGGGGAAGAGGGAGCTTCCCTTGTCTGATACCTTCTTTGAAAAGGCTTGCTCCATCCTTGGGAGCAAATCAAAGAAACTTGTAAATATGGAGGAGCTTGTTTATTTGCAGATATTGGCTACTGCTTATATGAGGCATGAACCGTGGGAAATGGGGGTGCATAAAAGGAATGGAGTTGTCTATCTTGATGTGCACAAATTACCAGAAAGGCCACAAAGTGAGCTGGATCGTCGAAGGTACAAGATTATATCTAAATATATATCCTTTGATCCGGAAAACCATTGGCTGCCTGAATTCATCCTTATATAGAAGACTGGGATATTATAGAGATGCAATATGTTGATCTGATGTTGTTTAGGATGCAGGATAATTTCCACTAATCCTTGGTCTCTTTCAGCTTCCATGCTATATCTATACTTTTGGCATACATAAGAAGGTTATACATTTTGTCAGGGTCATTTGAAAGGATTTCTTGACTCATGCAGAGAAATTTTTCTTTCTCCAAGGTAAATAAAGAGTAAGTATGAAGAAAAATTTTTACTCCTTAGAAGTTACTCAATCAACATGAAAGCCTGTTTAAGAAGCAAAATATTTTTCGTTCAGAGGGAGGGGAGATTGAGAGTATAAAGTAAGCCTTTGGTGTTTTTGGCTGGAGAGTTAGTAAAGTTAATACAGCAAAATGAGGGATGGGTACAGTATAAAGTGATTAAAAAAAAACTCTTCTGCTATTGTTAAATCAGAACGCCGTGATATAAAGGAGGAAGACGGAGGAAGAATAACTTAATTATGTTTCATTACTGTTGGCTAGCCCTAGTTATGAGAAGTTAACAGTTTCCTGTTTATTAGTAATCACATGACACTTCTTTCTAGACTCCTTGGCATCCATTAAGTTGTGCACATACATTGTTTCACATCTATGACCTCCGTGCAAACAGATTTATTTATTGTGTGTGCTATATTAAGTCACAGTTATCATGCAATTTTGTCTTGCTTAATTAGATCTTATTGGGGATACTGTTTTGAGAGCCTTGCCACTGAAGACCCAACAAGGGCTGATGGGGAAGGGGTACATCATATTGATTCCAACATTGAATATTGTTCCGTAATTAAAACCAAATTAGGAGCTCATCGTATCTTGATGGGTGCTGAAATGGATTGCTGTGATTCGACGGATGATGGAAGGAGGTTTTATGTGGAGTTAAAGACAAGTCGTGAGGTTAGGATGCCTGCTGTCTTTCAATATTCACCATCACCTTGTTGTTTTGGCTATTTTTGACCTTATTTTATTTGTTGTCATTCACAGTTGAATTACCATACTGAGGAAAGATATGAGAGGGAGAAATTGCTCAAATTCTGGGTACACCTCTTCCTTTTCCATTAACTGTCATTGTCGTTGCTGTTTTGACATATATAAATTTGTTTACATGTGTAAATTTGAGTTGCTGTTTGCAGGCTTGATCTGTTTGTAGACGTCTTCCTTGAACTTGGTGCAGTAGACATATAATCATATATGATGTTGCTTTCCCCTTGGTCTAATAATTTACATTTGCATTAAGATGCATGCCTTGGGAGATGAATAGACAATTTAATTCTTTTAATGGTGAAGTGACAATTTCATTTTTTTAATAGAGATTAAAATTCAGTGAACGAATCATGTCAAAAACCAAAGGTATTAGATTATATAGAGCATTTAGATTCGATATATTTCTCGCTTTTAAAAACAATAGCAAATAATTATCCATTTCTGTGGCCTGTATTACAAACCTCTTGATTGACAGTTTTGATGCGTGGTATTATTTTTTTGAGACCGTATTGAAGTTGTCGACATGTTTATTTCTATGTCAAATTGAATCAGAACACCATGGCAAATCTTGGGTTTTATACGGCCTTGGGGATCAGTATGAGCTGTTAATTGTTCAGCTGGTTTCCAAATACAAATTGATGTCATCGAGTATTTAAGAAGATGCTTGCATGTACCCAATTCTGTTGCTTTAAAGCCTAAATATTGATACTTGTATCGAAAAAGTTAGCCAGCTAAAGAAGCACTTTTTCCTTTTTATTTTCCATTCTGAGAAGTTAACTGTGATCTTTCCCAGTCTTTTGGGATTCTACCAGCTTCCTTTTCTCTTTTGTGGGTTAAGTACTATCTGTTGGTTTTGTTCAGTAAGAATTGAATGTCTCTTAATAAAGTCGGATACCCTGTACACTTGCTCCTGGGGAAAAGATCACAGGTGATCCACCTGTTGGTGATTGACCTTGCAAGGTGATGCACCTGTTATTGTTGCCATAGAAAAATGGGATTAAAAAAAAAGGGAAATTATGTTGTTGATATTTCCATATCCTCCAAACTAAGGTTGGCTGAATATGGTGGAACTCTGAGTGTCCTATTTAGATTTGTTTATATCATGTAATAAATGGGTTACCTTAAGGGGGCTCGTCTTTTTTAAGGATGTGTATTTGTAGCCTCTTTTTTTGTTTGATTGATCTCCCTTTCATATTCATTCGACCTGAGGCAGACCATGCAGTTTTGTTGGGGGGGTTGCTGCATGCTGGACTTTTTTTATGATGAAATTTTTTCCCTTAATGATTTGAGTTAACTGCATTTGTTTGTGTCTTGTAGTTACGAATCAAAATTTCTTCTTGTCTCATTTCAGATCCAGTCATTTCTAGCTGGTGTCCCTTTCATTGTCATTGGATTCAGGTAAATTCTGTTTGCTATTCTACCTGTTTTTTTCCTGCTTTTTCATTGGAGGACTATGTATGTTACAGTCTAAGTACAGACGCCTCACCTCCCACCCCTTCCTTTTCCTTTCCTTCTCACTGTATTGTCTTGAAGTTGTGTTTCTATGACAGTCAAGTGTAAGGGAATAAATAGTAGGTGGCAAAATGGATTACGTCTAAGATAAGAAAAATAAAGTTGTTTCCAGTATTGGTTTTAGTGCTTCACCTTGACATGATCTAATAATGATTGCTCTCTCCCTTCTTCCTTCCTCCCCTCTTATTCTCCTACTTTCTTTTTATAAATAAATGTGCATGTTCCCTGCAGCTTCCTGGCGCTGGTAGGTTGTTACGGTGCAATTATAATTTATTCATTACTGTTGTGGAATCTTACCCTGATTATTTTATGTCGGTGTGGCATCTTGCCCTGAAGCAGGGATGATTCCGGGCGACTTGTCCGCACAGAGAGACTAAGAACCAAAGACATAACGCATAGAGTGAAAATGAAAAACTATTGGCAGGTAAATTTCAATCAGCCGCAAAATTCATTCACACCAAAGAGTTTGGGAGACACATTGTTGTTAAGTTTGAGGCTGTGATTATAAATCTAATCCGTTTCGCTCTTTTTTGGTGAAATGATGAGCCTGCCCAGCATAATACCGTATCACACTCTTGACACTGTCTATCACATACTTCTCCAAGAAACATAGAACATAGCATGCATTATTCTCAGTCATAGTATTGAGAGATTATGCTATACAACGATCATTTGTCTAGTATTTCTGTGAACAAATCATATCCCAAGTGTCATGCATACTCACAAAACTCACCACTAAGGATTATGTTCAGATTACCAAGTCCACCCCATCTAAGACCTTTGGTGCCATCCATCGAATTTTTGATTGAAATGAACTATAACCGAATGGCACTTGGCAGGGAGGAGTTTGCTTAGCATTTGCTGATGAGGTGTTATGCTGGCTTTATGGGACAGTCAAAGAGAGTGAGTTATCAATTTCTACACTTTTCCTTCTTTTTGACTTTGTTTGGTTATTGAAAAGGTTGATTTATTTTTCCATTCCTTCTCTTTTGGCAATCAAAATCAGCAATTAGCTCTCAGATAAGTAATGTGCTTTTTTTGTGGCATCAGATGAAGACTACATATTGCAGTTTGCTCAGCCTTTCAACCGTTTGGAGCTTCTCCAAGCACAGTCGTGCCCGGATGTAATTACTAACCATGTTGAGCAGTTATGACCATATCAGGAGCTTCATAAATTATATAGTACAAACTTGGATTCAAGAATACAGAAGGGAAGCGAGGACTGGGGCTGAGATATTAACTTGTGATTTTGAGATAGAATGCAAGTTTTGTTGTATCTATATGGTGTGCAAGAAGAATATGTTGACATTTGCACATGAGGCAGGCAGGTCATAGAAATGATTTTGTTAGGAATGGCAGAGCCATGTTTTGCATTATCATTTTTTAAAAGAGGTAGATTTACAAATGTAGAATTAGTACATTGTATCATTATGCAAAAGAAAAAAAGGATGATTTTTCTATCAGTCATATACTTCATCCAATTAGGCTGATGAATTAAACCCGAATTTCGTCCGGAGTTAGTTTCATTAATTTGCTGATAAATTCATATATGATTTTTGAGATGTTTTTTATTCATTTTGATTTGTTTTGTATGGTAATTCATGCCTAATTTCCTCTCTCCCTCCCTCCCTTTCGGGTGTGACTGCAGTCTCCACCCCATTATTTTCACTTTCCCTGACATGGGTTAGCAATTCTATATGGATGGCCTTAGAACTTTCAGCTTTAACCTAAGTTAAATCAAGCAGTAAGAAGGACAACCAGTAAATTTAAATGTTTTGAGTTTAAATTTTGTCAATTTTTTTAAGTTAGGTCATGAGAAATTTATATCTCATGAATATCTTATTTTCGACGTGGATGATCTATTTTGCCTGGACCGGGAAGAAAATTAATCAAAGCGCGTGTAAGTTACCTTGAAAATTCTTAATCGTTGAATTAAAAAAAATCACCTATTGTGATTGAAGCTAAAATATTTTGGAGGATTGTATAGTTCGGCTTCTTTTCTAAACCAATAATTAGGGTTAACAATTTTAATATGTTTCATCAAATTTTGAATAAACATTAGATATAATTATGACATTATATCATTTTATTACTATTACGTGGTGTTATTCGTCGATGCAAAACAGAACCAAATGAATAAGAAATCAACTTAAAATCCCACAAAATTAGCTTAATAATTTAACTTTAATGAGTTTTAAATCACAAACGGGTTTAATCCATCAAAAATAAATCGATGCGAACCCGATCATAAATGGGTCAAATGGGTATGGAAATCTGAACCCGACGATAGACCGACTTCAAACAGACAAAAATTCTCTCTCGCTCTCTTTCTCCAGGCATAAAATGATCACTGTGAGAGAAAGCAGAATCAGAAGGAAAGTGATGCCGGAGACCACAACAACATCATCGGAGAAAGTTCCGACTATGAGCAGCGAAGCCATGGAAGCCATATCTGACAGACTTTCGCAGCTCGAAAACTTATACTTCCCTCGCGCTCTCCTATCCTCCGCCGCCAATCCCTCCCAACGCAAGTCCCTCCTCCTCGACCTCCTCTCTCGAGACATCGCCGTTTTCTTAGGTATTCTCTCTATGTGTGTGTGTGCGTGTGCTCGCGCGCACATATAGTGTTACAGCTTCATGTATGAGTCTGCATCTGGATATATACTGATGCAATTAATCGTTTTTGATTTATAATCTCAGAACGGTACGGTTCGAAACTAGAATTTGATGAGCTAAAAGAATTTGATGAGTTGAAAGACGATTACGAAATCAATTGGCATTTGAACCATTTGCGGAGTGTGATTAGTCCGACGACGGAGGAATTGAGGTCGAGGTCGGCCAAGATTAAGAATCGGAGGTTGGGGTACATGGATAAGTTGATGTGTGGTGGGAACTACTTTTCGGAGGATGCGATGAGGGAGAGAGAGCCGTACTTGCACCACGAGTATGTGGGGAAGTTTCAGGACCCGAGTGGGAGGAGTATGGCGAGGCCAGGAGAGCGGTGGTCTGAGACACTGATGAGGCGGTCGGAGGAGGCCATTTTGGTGGAGAAGATTAGGGGGGAGCAGCAGAGGTTGGGTGTGGCTCAAAGGGATTGGGTAGGAAATGAAATAGAACAACAAGAGGAAGAGGAGGAGGAGGAAGATGATGAAAAAGAAGAGGAAAGAGGAGCTGAAGCTGAAGAGAATGGGGAGGCTGGTCTGAGTTCACATCCTCCCGAGGTAATTTCTTAATGTGCTTAACAAGATTGTGTGTATTGGTGAGTCCGTGCTCGTCAATGTTTTTATTTGTGGTTTATGTGAACATCCGTATATCGATTGGGTTTGGCATGCTAGTTGATATTTATGATTGTTTTTGTTTAGTATGAACCTTTACTTTGTAGCATGGTTTGGGTTTTCATCTGCCTGTGTGAGCAAGATTACTTGGTTGTCAACACTCTTGTGAAGATAGATATTCCCTCTGTTGGAGAACACTTACAGAAGATGTCATATGAATAATAAACCAATATTGTAGTTCTTATTGTTTGTATGAACAGTGAACTAGAGCCAGCACTGGTTACCTTTAATAGTTTGTTTGGATCTAATACAGCTATGCCACAGGAAAAGTAGCTGAAGGATGGGCTGTCCGAGGCATTATAGATTTTAGGGGTGCACATGAGATGGTTCTGTTTGGGTTCATGGATACCTAGACTTGAACTGACCTAGGTCAGTTCCAAAACTAATAACACACCAAACAGGAAAGTTTCAGTGTTGTATGGTTTTGTCCACAGTTTAAATTATATTGCATGGAGATTCACATGTGGACTTAAGGAAGTTCAATGTCTAACCGTTTGAGTTTGGAACTTAATCCCATTAGTGTACTTAACCCTTAAGTCAGGCCTGCTTAATATGCCAAATGCCAATACAATGTATTTTCCTATAGGGGAGTTGCATTGTCTAGGAACATGAGATCTTGCATACGGAAGGGACGAGGGAATGGTATTCTTCCAAGTTATTTGGAACTGTACGACTCAGCTTTTTGGTGTTAGCTTGTTGCTGTTGAGGTCATCCCAGAAAGAACATAACTACGTTGACTTTGTTGCATATGAGTTTACATTCAAACCACATGATAAAATACTCGTCCTTCGTGCCATTGCGAAAGAGCACAACTACCTTGAACTTTTACCTGTTAAAAGATTTGCATGCAAATCACATGGCAAATTATGCTTTTATTGAAATATCAGTTGTCAGGTTGATTCAAATAAATCAAGGGGAATGATTCCCTGAAATTTGGACCCAAACCCAGACCGAGTGACATGAAAACTGAACTGATCTGACCCATAGTTTGGTTTGATGTCTCAAACTGGCCTGTCGGCTTGTGCGCCCCTTACTGATTGTATTGTGGAATTCAGTTTTTAGCATCCAGGTCAAAGAGCTCAGAGAATGTTTAGGAATTGCAAGATTTTGCCCAACATAAATGGACTGAACAGGGGAAATAGTAGAAGGATAGCTATCAGTATCACCCTTCGAAGTTTTCGGAGTTTGAGATGCACAAAATTATAAAGGTTTCAGTCACTAGGTAAAAATGCTCACCACCTTTCTTTCTATCTATATAGTGCCCCCTTTTCTTATGTTTGTTGTGATTCTATTGGAAATGTTATTCTCACTTTCCGAGGTTTCATCGTCACTTGCTCTTTGTCTTGTACTTGTGGGTCTTCAAGAGATGATGAAATCCTTGGTCTCTCTCCCAGCCCAGTTTCCTTCATCATCCTACTTCATGTCTTTATCAAACATCCTAATATGAAACTTTTTGGTGATTGGAAGGATTCGCCATATGCCCAGGCTGTTTTCTTGTCAGCAAGCCCATTCGTTGTTGCTTTCACACTAATTGTAATGTCTGTGGCTATGGCTATTATAGTTTTGGTTTAATTTGCCTTGAAAAGAAAACGTTACTTGTTCATCCCTGAAAATTTGGTGTACTTAAAACACTAGATTGAATGGCTGGCTGATAGGACTTCTAGCCGATGAAACTGTGGGAACTATCCATCCTGGTTCACAGCCGCCACTTTTCACACGTGGTATGCAAAATGTGTAAGGAAAGTAAGGTTGTCAAACTCTGCCCTAGTTGTTTTTAGTTGGGTCCTTTGTGCACATCATGTTTTAACCTTGACAGAGATATGTATTTGTGTGCATCTGTTTTTTTGTCATCTTGTATACGTTTATGTTATGGAATCACAATTTAACCAGCTGCTGTTCGTGATAATTTATGATCTTGCATCTTTTAACTTAATTTGGTGTCTCTTGGATTATCACAAGGCCTTCAATAATGTTCACTCCACTAGTGTTGTCCAGTCCACAAGTTTGTGGCCCTCTGAGGGAGCAAGTATATCTGAAGCCGAGATGCAAGATCAAATGGACCAGTTCACCCACATTATGCAGCAAAAATTTCTTTCAGGGGAAGATCATCAGCATTTAGATTACTCAAAAATCGACGAGGATGTGACCTTAGATGATCATTGGATGAGGGAGGCTAATCACGATGCTGAAGAAAAGTACTTTGCTGATGTTTAAAAATAATGGCAATGATGCTGGCTTGCAGCAGCCTTGTTTCCTTCTCATTCACTTCTGCATGCTGGCAACATATTGCTCATGTAATTACATATCCCTTTTTAATTTATATGTATAAGATGTAGCATCTGATTTCTTTGAGGTTATGCCACTCTCTTGTTGCATGAGCTGCGCAGTAAAACCAGGAATCATGCCCTCGTGGCCGGTTCTATGCTGGAATAACCAGCTACGCCTTGGGTTGGGATCTTCAAGCTACCTCATGTGGTCGGAGTTCCTTTCACAGAATGCATCAAATCTGCTCATTTTTTTCATATATTTTGTCAAGTATTTCTGAAGAAAGTAATCAGAATGACATCCAAGCTATTTCGATTGCTTCAGTTTAGCTGCATATGTTCAAGAGCTTCTGGGATCTTTTTCATTTTTCTGCCACAGAAGTTTGTTGCTCGATTGCTTTCTTGTAGCTTCTTCTATGATGTTATGGGCAATGGGCCTTTCCTGCAAGTATTCACATTCCATGGTTTTATTGCACTCTAATTAGTGTGTACTATCTTTATTCACTTGCATTTGCCATTGATTCCAGTGATCAAGCAACCAGCTTCATCATTTGGGGGTTAGTTTTAATAGAGATGATTTCCTCACCACCTTATTCACCACTTGTGATAGGCATACCATTGCAAGCAATAGAGCATAAGGCTACTTCCCAATGCAGTAAGATGTTTACAGTTCAGGTCAGACCATTTGCCCACTAGCATTTCTCAAGCCATTTGTATCACCATATCAGTATGATTCAAATACATGTGAGATACAGAAATAAAAAACCTAAGGCAGCAATTCCAATTTATTTAATCTTCCATGAAAGGTGCAATCAAGATCTCACCCTTGGAAGGAAGACTCAAAATTGCAGTTATTCCACAAAACATTAAAAGAACAAAAGTAAAAGCTGATAAACCAAACTCTAAATGCAATTAGAACATGTACCGCACATCAGAAAAATGCAATAATTGTCTACAACAAAAACATCAGTCCAAAGTCTGATTTCTTAAAATTCTAAAATATTAATGGCAGAAGCCAAAGCCTGATTCCAAGACTTAGTAAACATGTATCAAAATCAGCGTCGGCAGGACCATGGCTAGCTCAACTCTCGGTTTGCTCCCTTAGCCTTCGAATCGTGCTCCTAACTGTAACAGCACTAGCAGTGCTGTTGCATTTGAAAAAGAAGAGAAACAAAGCAAGAAATTAGTAGCTAGCAGTGCTATTGCATTGAAAAAAACAAGAGAAACAAAACAATGCATTAGTAGCTAGCAAGAGAAGCAGATGGAATAAGACCAAGTCTTATTGGATCATTACTTCAATGTGTAAGCACCGCCTGCTTTGACTTTGCCACAATCCTTGCAGCCCCAAATACCCACTGCCTTTCTCTTCACCGCATACTACAAACAATTACATTTTCGATTAGAACAAGAGACAAGCCCATAAAAAAGGTTAGTGATGCACAAATGCCTAAAACAAAGCACAACAAGGCGAAAATGCTCAGGCACCTTGGCAGCAGTCACAGCCCCTTCTAAAAGAGGACCGTTGGGGGGGGGGGGGGG